CCAATCGTATCCTGGGCTGCATCCAAAGCAGCATGGCCAGCAGGTCGAGGGAGGGGATTCTGCCCCTCTACTCTGCCCTGGTGAGACCCCCCCTGCAGTGCTGCGTCCAGCTCTGGAGCCCTCAGCGTAAGAAAGACACGGACCTGTTGGAGTGAGTCCAGAGGAGGGCCTCAATCAGGGGGATGGAACACCTCTCCTGTGAAGAAAGGCTGAGAGAGTTGGGGTTGTTCAGCCTGGAGAAGAGAAGGCTTCGGGGAGACCTTATCACAGCCTGTCAGTACTTAAAGGGGGCTTAGAAAAAAGATGGGGGCAAACTTTTTGGCAGGGCCTGTTGCGACAGGACAAGGGGGAATGGCTTTAAACTAAAGGGGGGTAGATTTAGACTAGATAGAAGGAAGAAATTGTTTACACTGAGAGTGGTGAAGCACTGGCACAGGTTGCCCAGAGAGGTGGTGGATGCCCCATCCCTGGAAACATTCCAGGTCAGGTTGGACGGGGCTCTGAGCAACCTGATCTAGTTGAAGATGTCCCTGCCCACAGCAGGGGGGTTGGACTAGATGACGTTTAGAGGTCCCTTTCAACCCAAACTATTCTATGATTCTATGATCCTTGCTATTGTCCCTTCTTTCTCTCCGTTTGCAAGGAGCCTCCTCACCCAGCATGGATCCCCAGCTGACCTTCTCACCTTTGTCTGTCCTAGGGGAAGGCCGTCAGCCTCGGAGTGCCTTCAGAGCCCATGGCTCCAGGAGACAGGTTTGGACAACAGGCAGCAAGCACTGGTTACCTTCCCTACCACCAAACTGAGGAATTTCCTCACCGAACGGGAAAAGAAAAGGGGCCTGCTGTGCTCCAAGTATGGCCTCATGATTGCACAGTGACGTGGATGTAACGACAGACATGAATTGTCTCCCTCTCCCCTTCTGTACTTAGTGTTTGGTACCAAGGAGTCCTGCCAAGTTGCTGTGCATCAGCTGAGCTGGGGTAACTGCTCTCCGTGAATGCGATTTAGCATAATTGAGCAAATTAATCCACATTACGTGCATTGCCACAAGGTAAGAACAGAAATATAGACCTAACATGGCCCAGCTGACTAGCAGTAACTTGACAGTATGTGTGTCACTTGGCTGCACGCTTCCTGGGATAAGCAGGAGAGATTTGCGTAGCCATTTCTGAATGGGACTAGCTACCAGCCCCAAGCAGCTTTGCAAATCCTTCCCTGAGGTCAGAAAGACTCCATGCGTGCAAATGCTGGGCACTGACTTCTGCCCCTGGCCCCAGGACGTGATAACCAGATGTGCTTTCAGATGTTATCGCGCTGCTCATCCCACAGTGACCACCGCAGCAAGGTCTGAGTGACTGGTGGGTTTCTCACCTGCTTCCAATCCGAAAGAATTCAATGACCACTTATGATGAGAAAGTAGGGAAGAGTGAAGCACTTTTGGGGGGCTGATGTTAGACAACAATGTATCTTCAGGCTTTGGATGTAGAGATCTAACTGGATCAAGTCCTGAGCACACTTGGCCTGAGTCAATAGCTGACCCCGCTTTGAGCAGAAGGTTGGTCTACAGACCTCCTGAGCTCCTTCCCAACCTGACTTGTCCTGTGATCCCATGTCTTTGCCAAGTGCCAGACACAAGGCTGGAGTGGTGGGACTCTGCTAGCATCCATCAGCAGCCAGGCTCAGCACGTCACTTACCTGGCCAAGTTCTCCACCATCCCCATGGGGCCTGACCTGAGATTAAACACGGGGCTAGAGGAGAGCTCTTCTAGCTCTGGAGCAACAAGAGGCTGCAGAGGGAGGAGGTATATGTGTTACGTGTGTGATAGTGGTACCACCAAGGAGATTTTAACCAGGGCTTTTCATGCTCTGTGAGGAAACTCACAAGAAACAAGAAGATCCAGTCTCCTTGAAAGCAGCCTTGTAGCTCGACCCTGTAGCACGAGGTGTGTACAGGGAGGGCAACAGCAGTGGGGCTTTCCAGTAACTGATAAGTTGCACATCTTCCTCACCCCACTCCTGCAAGAGGCCATAGCTTGCTTGGCTTTGAGAAGAGCTACTGTTCTTCCTGGGGCCCAAGCTGACACTCCATATGCTGCTCCACTTGGGTGGCCCAGCTCGTGATCTCTTAGAGCCCAGCCTGCTGCTCAATGAGCTGCGTGGCTCCATGGAAGTTCACCAGCTCTCCACGGGCACCTGCGCTGTCGTGTGTGCAGAGCTGGCCGAGCTCCTCAAAGGTTTCAAGGTTTGAAAACACCACAAAACTTGTTTTTTGGAGCATGTATTTGAAGTCTCCCGTTAGACCTGAATGACAGACTCACCCATCACATAGGATCTTACAGTAACCCCTCACCTGCCTGACTGCATCTGCATCGATTCTCTTAAAAATGTGTTAAAAAACAAACAGAAACAACTCTTGGAGAAACCAAGCTGTGACTTGGTGTATGGGCACCTCTGGGAAAGATGTCCCCCGTGGCCAGGATGCTGGCACACGGAGCATTTAGTTGTATGGCTTTCCTCGCAAGCGGGGCTAAAATGGGCTTGTGCAGAAAGCCTTTTCTGAGCACATCTAAGGCTGT